CTGGGACTACAGGCGCGCACCACCACACCCGGCTAATTTTTTGTATTTTTAGTAGAGACGGGGTTTCACCATGTTAGCCAAGATGGTCTCGATCTCCTGACCTCGTGATCCGCCCACCTCGGCCTCCCAAAGTGCTGGGTTTACAGGCATGAGCCACCGCACCCAGCCTGATTTTGTATTTTTAGTAGAAATGGGGTTTCTCCGTATTGGTCAGGCTGGTCTTGAACTCCTGACCTCAGGTGATCCACCCGCCTCAGCCTCCCAAAGTGCGGGGATTACAGGCATGAGTCACGGTGCCCAGCCAACTTTTACATCTTATAGCAGATACCAGCTTAGGTGCCATTTTATACCATGGATTACCTGGATAGCCATTCAGACCCTAAACACTCAGCCCCTTCATATGCTGAAACAACAAAGCTTTCACCATATTGCAGTGGGTCAGGGTTGTAGCAGATTCCTCTTCTTACATTGTCCGTGCCTTGTAACGTGTAACTGTGAGTCATGGAAGCAAAGAAAACTAACCTGTAATAATTGTGAGTTTTGAGTAACGTCCTGTTCCATCCTGTGTATTGTTGGGTATTGCTTCTAGGTCTTCTGACTATAGCAATAGCAAATGCTGTGACTGATATTAACTAGTTAGTCCCCATGACAACACGCTTTGGATAAAATGCTGCTTTCCATTGAACATATGAGGAGGCTGTGTTCCGGATAGGTCGGATATATACCTGCAGTCCCATAACCCGCGAGTGGCATGTCCCTGACATCCATGCATTTTCAGGATCAGCAGGGGGAGATTCTCACGTGGGAATGTCAGACTCAGAGATCCAGAGGTTAGAATCACCATTTCAATAAGGAATGGGCAAAGTGTTTCATCCAGACCTGTGTCCTGGTCATCATTGCTGTGTTGATGGTGGGCCTAGGGTCTATATATCCCTCTGATTTGAAGCCAAGGACAAGCACCCACAAGGCAGCTAGTAGACACTGACTTCTGGACTTTGCACCTTGACCTTTCTCAACTTCCCTGGTGCCACCAACCTCGCCCCTCCTCCCATGAGCGTGGGTGGTGATGGACCCATCTTGAGCAGAACCGCTGTGATATTCCAGGAATTAGTAACCTTTGAGGACGTGTCCGTGGACTTCTCCCAGGAGGAATGGGAGTTGCTGGAGCCTGCTCAGAAGAACCTGTACAGAGAGGTGATGCTGGAGAACTATAGGAACGTGGTCTCCTTGGGTAAGGCAAGCATCATTCATTCCTGTGTTCATTGATTCACATTTATGTTTGTTTGTTGTTTTTTTTTTTTTTGAGACGGAGTCTCGCTCTGTCGACCAAGCTGGAGTGCAGTGACCGGATCTCAGCTCACTGCAAGCTCCGCCTCCCGGGTTCACGCCATTCTCCTGCCTCAGCCTCCC